AGTCTATTGAATACGATGTATCACTTGGAATGACTGTCGATCAGACATCTACTTGCAAAATGGCTTGCAAAGGGTTCCTGGGTTTATGGTTTCTTGAGAAAATACACTAGACCCTATGTTCAAACAAGGTGAAGGAGCCCAGGTATCCTTCGCGGCGGAGCACTCCCTTCATTAATTATTTCTTAGTTTCTTCTTTCATACATGTATGCGTTTTTTCATATTAATCTGTACTATCTTCTCAAGTAAGACTACATATATCAGTATATACTATATCTAATGTCAAGATGTAGGTTTGGTTGAAGTAGAATTTTAGTCTGTCCTGATTTTGAACCATGCCACTTTTGGCAGCCGCTCATGCTGCTGCTCGCGCAGAATTTAGGCATCTGAATCAACGATTTCTCCTCACATATCCCCGGCCTCGTATACTATGTTGTCGGCACAGGATCGAAAACACGATATTCAGTCATACATCTGGCAAGATAGCTCTGGACGAACACTCTTCTATGACTATGAATACCATCTTTTGGCTTACATCCTGCACTATTGAGTTCAATACCAGCATTGCATGCATACAGCGAGCATAGTGCGAAATGCTTGAGCTAGACAAGAGTGTGCAGCTAGAGTCTCTGGCGCCCAAGCTCGAAGATGACGAAGCGATCGAATTGACTATAGGTGGAAAATTACACTTGGTGCTGAAGCAACGCAGCATTACTCTACGGATGCTTTCAAGTCAAACGTGTAAGACGTGATCATTTCTCCTCGGTTTGCATTGTCGGGCTCTTCCTAAGTGGTTCGACAGCTGGCTTCAGATACGCCTCTGAAGACCTCAATTTACGCGACTGATCACGAACATTCGAGCTTGACTACATTTTCTGGGAACAGTGACGCGCTTCATCGTTTATTGGTCAATCATTCCGGTCTCACATCCCAATAGGGTTGCCTTGGACCGGGCCGGCACCCTTGTCAAATGATCCTCGGGATTATCGCTCGAAGATTACTTTCAGCTTCCTTTCCTGTAACTACTAGTTATTAATGACATTGGTTTCTTACTAAATCTGAAAGAGGGCTTTCTCTGGCATCTATACATTAACGCGCCAAGAACGGTACGTAGAGCGTCAGAATCCACCTTCAAAGATATGATATATTGCAACCTTCAAATTCAGGTGGGAAGGGATTTTGGACGGATATTTTTTCCGTCGCCTGGCTGACTAGATGCGATATATCGGTTTTGGTCTCACGGTTAGTTCTTCGACAAGGAATATCACTTTTGTATGGCGGAGGCGGCAAATGCTCTGGGAAAGCATTTAGGCGGTAAACTTTCCTTTCCCAGTGGAATTCGGTGATGGCGAGGACTTTGTATACTTTGTATCTCGAATAAAAGCCATGGCGGTACTTCTGAGCGATAAAACAAGCCCCCATACAGACGCAAAGCTTATCATTCCAGTTTAACCATAAATGGTCAGGTTGAGGCTAGCTCATAGCTCTGCTTCTCGTAGAGATAATACAAATATGTCCGCGGACCAAATTCCCACATTCCCACGGTACTGCAACGATCACATGCCATTGGGTAAACCAGACCTCGCGAGCCCTTGTCCTCTGGTCCCTTGTTCTGACGAGCTTAGAGACGGTTAGGGCCTTTTTTTTTCTCATTAGGCCATACCTCAAGTCCCACTGGAAGGGCTGCAAGATCAGGCTCCTGGGAGGGACCAGCAAATCTCTTCTCGTTTACCGATTGTATGAATGGAAGCGGTGGCTTATTGCAACTCAAATTCTTCCTTATAGTGGTAAGTGACTCCTTAGGCGAATTGAAAGGTTAAAGGCTAAAGGTTGACTAGATCTTGAGGTCATGAAAGGTTCTAAGAGTGTGGAGAGAACCGTCTATGATGGGCTTCCGAGGAAGGAGGAAAAGAGGGGACAATAACAAGACACATCTCGATAAGGCTTATCCATTTATAATAGATAGTATGAGAAGGAATCTGCTACTACATGAAAGTCTCGGAGAACCTGACCTTTATGCAGTGCTTTCCCATCGGAGACTGGTAATATCCTGGCGTAAAAATACTGTAACAGTATCATCTTCATAATACGGCCTCCCAGCCTCCAAAATTTTTCGTCCTACCCACTTCAAAGCAGCACCCAGCTTCGCATTAGCCTGCAGGCCTTTAGTGATTCTACTTCCCTGCAAAGTGACTTACACAAACTATCTCACGCTAGTCTCATGGAAGCCACACTAATTCTCTATGACTATGCTTCGTTCCACCAGTAAAAGACTACCTGTTACCCCCTCCCGTACGCGATCATGGAAAGTCGGCATTGTATGTATGGACTCGGGTAAGTGCCCCGAAGCAACTGCCAAACTACTATTATCCCAGCCTTCAGAAATTTTGAAGCTTTAATAGGTATGTCGCAGCCATGCTACCATGCCGCAGTACTCAACCCCGCTCAATCTTGAGAGTCCAATTATTCTACAGAAACGAGTTCAATTTGTCGACGGTGCCTACTCTTGGCCCACATGTTCCGACTTCGCAAAGGACTTCTGTCACAATCAGCCGTGCTACTCCTTCTGAGAGGACACCCCGCAGAGAACGCTGCAAATCGTCAAGATTTTAGCGCTGTGGTTTAAATGTGACTGAATCTTCGATAGGCGTAGCGCTTGCTTCGATGCACTTTCCAAGACAACGCGAATTGGCCGCTCGATATTAAACCTTTTTGGGCTGTGCCATCCTGGTTCGCGACAAATCGTACTGAAGCAACATCACAGCGGGCTCCTTCTCGCCTCCTAAGTCAGATGTCCCTACCATATATCGCTGAAGTGCTGAAAAAACGGATATCTTCATTTGTGTTCTTGACAATGGGTGGATTTGCTACAAGATGGGAGTTGAACAACTCATCCCATAAACAGCAGACACCACCTCCTCTCGCCTTAATTGATCCTAGCACTATGTATCGGGGAGATCACTGCCTAGCTGCATAGCTAAAGCACGTCGCAATTTTAGCTCACTTTTTCCTATCCAATCTTCGGAGCCGGTATCTGCCTGTAGCTGTCTTGAAAAGATTTAAGACCAAGGATGCGTGACGACCCAGCCTAGTATTGGGGAAAATCTCCTCACCCTTGACTTCCACTTCTATACCGGTTTATTGTTTCTAACTGAAAGAGTTCATTGCACAATGGCATTACAGGCAGCAACTGGTCTTTCTGAACATTCCCACCATCTCAATGTTATCTTCGTCGCAGTGACGGGGTTGATGACCTTACTATCGACATGCTTGGTAGCTCTCCGGTTCATCTCACGCTCCCTCACACTCTCCATAAAATTGGATGATTGGTTCTGTCTTCTTGCTTTAATCTTTTCCTATGGGCTTCTATGCACCACTGCTCTCGTCACAACCGTGGGGCATGCGGGCATCCACATCACTCAGTACAAGGACCCCCTTGTGCTAGAAAGATACTTCCAGGTACGCACGTAACACAGCGTAGAGAACGCATTCTTTCATTTTCCTACACCATAAACTAACATCAGGTGATTGTTTTAATCCAGATCACATTAGCCGATATGGTGATCTACAACGTCAGTGTTGGATTGACCAAAATATCTATATTACTCTTCTATCGGCGGATTTTCTCCATCAACAAGGCTTTCCTGTTTTGCAATTGGGTGGTCACCGGCCTCTCCGCAGGGGCCTGTATAGCCGCAGTCTCCGGGCTCATCTTCTCCACCAACCCTGTAGATGCACAGTGGAAATTCTGGGAGCCCAGCACGACAATCCACAACAAGAGCTTCTGGATTGCTATGGGTGCAGTCAACATCCTTCTTGATGTAATTATTCTGATCCTACCACAACCGGTGGTCTGGCAATTGAAGCAGACACGCCGGTGTCGAATTCTGCTTTCTCTGGTCTTCAGTGTGGGTGGGTTGTAAGTTCGTCTGATAAACTCACCTATTCCCCTATGCTGATAGCGGGTATCCCCTCAGCGTCTGCGTGACCAGTATTGTACGGCTTGTGTATATGGCCACGATTGATGTATCCGATTTGACATGTGCGTGCTCTCCCTTGATTCCTGGAAGATCAGTCAATACTAACCACACTTCCTTGCCGTAAAAGACACTTTCACTGTCCCCGGTATTTGGACCACAGTCGAAACAAACATGAGCATTATTTGTGCTTGCCTCCCGATGATCCCGAGCTTGGTCCAGCATATCCGTGAACCTCAATCGACTAAGGGGACGAGCATAGGCTGGAGTGGCATTACACGTCTCCGCCCTTTTCACAGTTGGAAGTCTGGCTTTGGTGCTCTTGGCTCCGTTCGATACCACGCTGTCGGTTCGAGACAGAAAGTCTACAATGACATTGAAGCGGCGAGCCCCAAGAGGGCCAACAATTATTGGGGTGATGTGGCCCAAGTCCATGCCTACACAAAATTGCAGGGGTATTAAGATCTTGCAAATAGACTGTTGCCCAATATCGGGCTCATTTCGTGAACTTGCCTGCGGGTGTGTGGCGTTTGCTTGGGGAAGACAGACAGGACCTAATTGGGGAAGAAACAGTTGGCGATACTCTTGGATGAGGTAGCAAAAAGGACAAAGAAACAACCAACAATTTAAATGCCATAGTGTCCTGTCTATTGGTCTCACTTGCGTTAGATACTAAGCTCACTAGTCTCTTTGTTCAATTTGAGGCCGTGCCCAGACCCGGGGTTTCTGCCCCTGCTAGTGCTGTTTTACAACCGTTTACAACCTAATGGAATATTTCGTACAGTGTAAGGCTACTAGCAGTAATAAATTACTAACCCATACCTAGTTTGGGCGGTAATGCGATTATCATTCGTGAGATACCATTCCTTGTCACCCACTACTTAAGCTCCTCCTGCCACACTTTTCCTCCGGCGCATCATCACCCTTCCACTCCTTATCCTGGATTCTTTATTCTCCCACAATTGGTTTTGGATCCTATTGCCACCAAAATCCCTCTATAGTATCATCCTACCTCCAAAAGTCACCATGACTACCACCTCCCCCCTCCTTTCAACTAGAAACCCAGCTATCGTCCTTGTCTCCGGCGCCTGGCACCAACCATCATCTTACACCTCTTTCACCACCGCTCTTCGCGGCCTCGGGCATGAAGTCCACGTGCCCTGCCTTCCCTCAATCAATGGCTCCCGTCCCCCAAACGCTGGCCTAGAGGAAGATAGTGTATTTATCCGCACCTGCGTGGAGAACCTCGTCTCTGCCGGCCGCGAGGTTCTGGTCCTACTTCACTCTTACGGCGGCCAGGTCGGAACAAATGCCCTATCCAACGGCCTCGGGGTCACAACCCGTCGCGCGCAGGGCCTCACTGGCGGCATTGTTCAATTAGTCTACATCGCCGCTTTTGCGCTCACGGAAGGGGTCTCCATGGTTGAGGTCGTCATCTCTCACGGCCACGGTCATTTGATGGACGTGGCCTTTGACTTTGCCGAGGACCGAACTTGCATCTCCCGAGACCCCAAGAGCCTCCTGGTCGGTCCATCCGAAAAGTCAGACGAGGAAACTGACGCCTACATTGCGTCCTTACAGCGGTGGAACGGGAAGGGCTTTGACGGCAAGCTCCAGCATGTCGCCTGGCGACCTGAGGAAGGGGGTATTCCTCAGATTGGATACATCTATTCAACCCAGGATATGACTGTACCCTATGATTACCAGAAGGAGTTTGTGCAGACTATGCGGGAAGCTGGATGTCAGGTTCGTACGTGGGAGTTGGAGACTGGACACTGTGCACTGTTCACCAAGTGTGAGGAGGTCGTGGAGATTGTTCATGGATTAGCGACTGGAAAATGAAATGACAGGAGGGTCGATAGCATTTGATGGATATGAAAATACAATCATCATATAAATAGCAAAATCTAAAATGAATTGTACTTTCGTGTTCTGTAACCCATATGACTTTCAGGGCCGCTACTAGTGTAAGTAGAGAACTCTTTGGATATTATAAAATATTCGATGAGTGTAGGCACTTTTCGAAAAGGAACGACAGATTCATTTATCTCTTCTATGATCTTCTTAACCGTAAAACCTCACTTAGACAAGTAACTAGACCTCTTCCAGCAGAATTGAATGATTCTCTGGGGAACTAATCCTTGGGGTAATTATATATGTTGGTGGATAGCAGTGAAAGACGAGCTTGTGGAATAGAAGTCCACTCCATTCTGATCAGTGAGTAGTTGCTTTCGACTGCTACGACCTATTTACTGGCTTAACTGCTTTAAGATATAGCTCAGAACTAATCTGAGTGGCTGGCGGGTTAGGGCGGGGTAGTGTAGTAGTACTGAGTGTGTAACGAAAAGGGAACCTGCAGTGCAGATCAGCAAGGAGCATTTCCCTAGGCCATCTACTTCATATACGGTACAGTATAATCCAGTGAGAGATGCGTGTTTGGCCTTGAATCCTCTAGCCAACAACTACTATATATGGAAACAGAATCAACCACCAATGCAGGCTGAATCACATCCTGTCAACAACTCACTATCACATCTCAACAGTCTTACCGCCAGGGTTATCACTCCAACTTGGGGCCCGCTTACGGCTCCGGCTCCTGCCGACTCTTCCCGCGGCCCATGTACCATTCCGCCATCAATGCTTTGTATACTGTGTAATATCGGTATGTAGAACTATGGTAATGTAATTGTAAGAACAATGGTTCCTCGAGCTCAATGCCATGAAAGATGAGTACTCAATATGCTTTTTGCAGCAAGGTTTGGAGTCCACGACCCATCCTCAAGCCCTCACAAACTGCTGCTCCTATCTAACCAACCACCCACAATACTAGCCCTGTGACCGCACCAGCCCTAAGGCAGTCACCCCCGCCCTTATCACCGCGACTTACTGCCCCTCAGCCAGACTGGGGATTCCCCACTCCTCCAGCAGTCCGTAATCAAGCTATCAGGCCATTGATCCAACAGCATGCACGCACCCAGAAACCCGGCGTTTCCTCTGTGTAGCCGAAGCACAATGATCTGTTCACATTGCGCACAATTGATGCCTCTGACCAAGCTGGTCGCCCAGGCTCACAGCTAGCTGGTGATAGGGATCGACATAAGATGAACCGTCCCCCCTTTTTTTCTTTGTTCTTTCCGTGTACCTTGACATCGCAGCCCCACCTTCAATGCAACGCCGTGGGGTTGAATGTCTAAAAAATGAGGCCTTGTTACAGTAAGGTGAAAGTGGCTTTTCGGTCTACGACAATGAGGGGCCTTCGGCAAAAAGCCTGCTTTCTCACCCACTCGTGCTAAAAAGATTGGTTTTTAATGACACCTGCAGTGTCGCTCGGTATCATGTATATGAATGCTCTTTACAAGATACAGTCATGTACCAGAGCCTAGCTAAAATGGGAAATGCGATCATATAAAGACGAACGGCTGGTAGCCTATTTCCTCAGGTCTATCTCAACTACCTACACCATTTCTCCATGGCCAGATATACAAAAACCTAGTCGAACCATTTCTGATCCTTGTCCTCCACATACACCTTAGGAATGTCACCTCTTCCATCAATAAAGACAGACCCACTATCAGGCTGATTGTGGACGCCCTCCTCATACGAATATGAGACAATCTTAGGCTTCTCAATAACTCCCAACGTATTCGAAAGAATGGAATCAATGATCGCATTGTATTTCGGGAAGGGTTTATGTCTCGCAGAGGGTCCATAAACCATTGCATACCTTTTCTCATCCTGGCCCAGAAAGAGTCCTGCATTTTCGGTGAAGAGATTCAGAAAGGCGGTCGCTTTCTTCCACAGTTGCGTTAGACTAGCATTTTGTTCTTCCATGCTGCAAGGGGGCAGGGGAACGTTAGCTAAAATGGCACCTTTGGTGGACACGAGCACAAGAGCCGAATTGCCATTCAACCTCCTGGTACCAAGTGTTCTTATGGTTTGTCCACTCGTGAAGGAGACAAAGTCGACTCCGCCAATGGGGACTTCAATTGCCTCGTTGGACTGCAGGACATCCTCGAAGAGGGATGCCGTGGAGGCGATTGGAAGAGGCATTTTGATGGATGGGCTGGGTCTGGGTTTGAAGCTCGATTGACTGTCAGGCAGAGCTGTTCGAGTTTGGCTTTGAGGGAGCTATGAGAACTTCTCAGATTCTCTTTCCTTACCGGCCTATTTATATATTCTTTTCTCCATATTAGAAGCAACTATATATATGCAAAATCCAACCTGGGTGGGTTTAATCGAAGTTGGCCGAGACTAGTAGAATTTATACAGAGATATCCTAAGTAACAAATGGAAGTAGCCATTGCAGCATTATATATACCTTGGTGATCCGGTAGCAGAAATTATGGAAATTGAGGTGAAACAAGCATTCTTCTTTCTCCACGCGAATGATGTGTCTAGTTTAGTGAAACCAAAACCCGGGTTTCAAGAATGTTCTTATTCATACTGCTCGGAGCTATACAATATAGTATATTAATTAGACTAGAGCACGTAGCACTGTTTATCCTGTTCTCAGTATCCTAATCGCAACGCTGTCTATGCTGGGTCTTCATATTAATTGGTCCAAAGGGACTTTCCTTGCCAATTGCGTCCATGCTTAGCCTCCAACCTGATACATGCAGAAGATCATTCGGGAGTTAACCGTTTCGATGTAGAATAATCATCTCGATGATGCGACCAATTCTGCTGTGAATATCGAACTAATTCATCTTTTTGACACGGAAAGAAAAGAAAAGAAAAGAAAAGAAAAACTTTTAATAGCGAGACTACGCAGCGAAAAGCATGTTATCCACAGGGGATACTGTGAACGGAGAAGCAGTCTGTAGCGGATGTTGTGCAGATTCCAGAGCGGAAGACTATCCTTTTTGTGTGGCACGAGACCGTATCGCGTGGATTCCCCTTTCCGATGTTTTGCGTACCATAGCCAATGACGACTTGGACAAAGAAGAGCGAGCTCGAGTAGCGCAATGTCCTCTTTCAATGATCATGACTTCGTCTATGTTGTGTACCTCCCCGTTGACTTCTCGTTTCCCTCCAAGCAGTCTATAGTGAGGAAAAGGTGAGATTGCAAGTTTCAAGATAGATGTAACTCATTCTGTAGCTTTTGTTGTCCGAGACTTTTGACCCTCCAACTAGTCGTCCCTAGAGCTCTCTCCGACAGAGGCTTAGCGAGATGAAGAACAGGACCGTACCTTTTTCGATGGCGCTCATCGCTTCTCTCCCGGGCTTCTAGCATGTTGGCCGTCATATATTCAATATCAGAAACCGGTACTAGCCAGACTTTTTGGTTCGTGCAACCTTGAGGGCACTGGGGCCTCGAAAGTGCGATATAATCTCCCGTATCTGGATGCCACCTAGGTCGATAGTTGCTACCACAGCGCTGACCACATTTGCTGCATTTTAACTCGATAATAGCTGGCTTACTATGATTTTCAATCATAGACTTGCCGCCGTTTGGTTCCGTCGGGTCGTCGTCATTATCTACAGAAGGCTCGCCAGCATTCCTATTCTGCAACTGTACTTGTGATGCGTCAACCTTTCTCGTGCCCCTGCGCCTCTTTAGGGGACGGCCGGTATCTAGACTCCCGGGCGTGTTGGCATTACCGAGGTTTACCTGTGAACGTCTGGTATAGCTCCGAGCGGTGAATGTGCTCGAGGGGCGGGCATCAAGATGCGCGATCAGGGTTTGGTCGTCCATATACGAGAAATTGAACGCAAATATAGCGAGATCGCGTAGGGAGATGAAGGATATTTCTTCATTGACGGGAACAAAATGCTGGTCGTTGCGAGAGCAGTTATGACATGTGAACGATCTGGGAATGTATTTAGGACGTGCTCCTTTGGTCCATTGGGGACTTTTGTCCAGTGCTCGGTTTCGAATGGAAGTTTTCCCTATCGCAGTCCTTTCCCTGCAGTATAAACACCAGAGTTTAACGTAGTGGAGTACCCTTCGCACTCATCCTCGGTGCGGATCAGCTTGCGAGCTGCAACGGTGGTATTAATCAGGAAATCAAATACCATATATGGCGTCTTATCAGCCGGTATGGCATATCTTGTTGTTTCATAACAAGCTTCTGAGTTGCATTTGCAGTCCCGACAAATATATATCCCAGAATGCTGAATAGAGAACCGAGGAAGGAGATCGGGAGGCTGCGGGCAGCGACAGTTGTCGCATACACAAGGCATGCTTTCAAATGTGGAATAGTAACAGGAGGATCTGGCTGTTGGTCGGTAGACACGATAGATACGGTTCCGAATCCTCGCTTGTTGAATATTCATCAAGCCTTGAATTAACTCCATGGTACTTAGGTTAGATGATTGTGGTCCATCACCTCCAACACAATGTTTATTGTACGCAAAGAGCAGGTCATCGCGAGTCCTGATGGATATTCCACCAAAAAATGAATGCTGTTGGGCCTCAACCCATTCTCTCATGAGCGCACAGGGGAACGGCTCCAGCAAGTCGTTTTGCATATTCAAGGACTTAGATTCCTGTCTGAACTCTCGCGAGCCGAGGCGCTTCCTACTGTCCAGAACTTTCAAGAGCACCTCATCCAACCTTTTTAAGCTCATGACTCCGCTGGTATCTGTGATTATAGGGCATGCAGCATCCGATGTTGGTACGTTTCTTTGCCTCGGCAGGTCGATAATACCGAACCGAGAGTCTGCTTTCTCAGCTAGACACCACTCATTGAAATACGCGTTCTGAATAAATTCAGCCTTGCTCGTCCAAAGCCTCGTAGCATGATAATCAGCAGTAAAAGGCAGACATGCCAACTGATGGGCAACACTAATCCGTAAATCCTGCTCTATTGCTTCTCTTTGGGACCTCGACTGATAGGAGAGAAATCTCTGTGGGTGTAGCGCGAATATGATGATTCTTGCGATCTTCTTCCCTGTCATAATCGCCTTCCACTCGAAGTGGAGCCAAACACCTTCGTACTCACCCCACAGACTAAGTGAGGTAAAATTCAAATGTTTCATCGCCCATTTTCTTACCGAAGAACCGTATATTATCTCTATCTTTGCCTGCAGTGTGCTTCGAATCCAATCCGTATGATTCTCATGGAAAGCTCGGATATGATCTGGATATTTTGCAAACGGGCAGAAGTCCTCTCGTCGGTGGAAGTGGTCAAACATGAAGTGAAGCTCGGGGTCGTAGTGATGGTTCATAATGAGTGCCGTGCACCCATTTGTAGCATCAGCAACCTCCCCGTTTTTGGCGTGAAGGGTGGTATAGGAAGGATTGTGTAGGTGATGAGCGATACGTGCCTGCCATGAGCCTGATGGACGAACAATATGCTCCGAACAACGGGTGGGAAGTGGATCCTTCCAAAGCTGTGTCTCCGCGAGCTGGAAGGAAGATAGTTCATCGGATATTGCCTTATGATCGATTTCTAAAACCGATGATTGATTAGTAGAAACTCTCACTGGACTTAGCCACTTTTGGCTACATACCGGTGCTTTTCTCCCGATGTTCAAGCTCGAGCAAATAAGGTCGAAGCTCATCCACTTTGTCACGCAACTTCAGAGGCGGCTCAGAGAGGAATAAGTTCCCAAAAAGTCGGTATGTTCTTGCGAGAGTTCTTGTGAACCGGAGCGTCCCCGGCGTATCTTCTAGTGAATTTTCTTCGGTACACCTTTCCATCTGATCCATGATATGACCTAAACGTCGTTCTCAAAATCAGAACGGGTTTCAGGAATTTGCCTCTTCAGCATGTAGTAGGACTTATGAGTGGCTTACGGCGGTGATAAGCAAAGAAATTTACGCAGGAGAAGGCGGTTTCGGGTCCAGGGTACTTATTGTAGCTCATTCACATCTTAGCTGTTGTCACTGACCCAGGTATTTCAAGGTAGGTTCCGTGAATAGATTTCCAATTCTAAATTAAATTATGATACGAATGACCCCATCAACACTTCTGACATCCTCACCCGCCGCCCTCATCTTCCTTTCAAAATTAATAGGATATATACTTAGATATCCTCGATAACAGATGGAAGAAGCCGTTGCAGCATTATATACTATATTGATTATCCGAGAAGAATCAAGAACCTTAAGTGTTAAACAGGCATCCTTCTTTGTCCTTGGGAATAATGTGTCTACTAATTTAGTCAAACCGAAACGCGGTTTTCATGAAAACTCTTATACTTACTGCTCGGAGCTATACAATGTATTTTTTAGTATAGCCTAGAGTACGAAGTCTTCTCTCAGTCGATTGTACTCTGTTTTAAAGGCATAAGTTCTTATATTATTTGGTCTAGAGGAATTTTCCTTGCCATGACTGGATCTTTTCGTTCATCTCTGGCAGGTCGTGGATCCAGTTAGAAATGTTGCGTCGGGAAATAGCAAGGTACTATTGGTCTTCTGTCTTTTGATATAATTTGCATTTCCAGCATGTGCTCACCAAAATGAGGAAGCTTCCAGGTCCAATGCATACGTTTCGAAGCTGCACCGCTCATGAACAACTTGCCATCTTCGATCATAGTTCCATTCCAGTCTGGTCAATGCAGTAGTTCATCTCGGTAAGTGTCGTTATTATTGAGACGAACCATGGCAATGCTTCGATAATTCCGCTCTGAATTTGATAGTTCATTTCGACACAATCAGACAAGAATCACCCATCCTTAGATAGACCCTAAATCGGGCTGGGATATGTATATGCTACTCACATGCGGGGCTTATGGATGTAAGTTTGGAGCAAAGTCATCCACATGGACGACTTTAATCACGTCGATTGATGTTCCGGCACGTTTAATGGATCCGATTGCTTGACCTAAAGGGGATCATTATGCGCTCTGCAGGGATTGCCCCAAATAGGCGTAGTGCAGCACCCCTTGAGTCCCAGCTCATATTCGACCCCTGGGGTCCGCAAACACAAAATAGGATGTAGAGTTATCCATCATCATGGAATTTGATCTATCAGACATAGAATTCGTTGAACAGATGAAAAGCTCTACATCATCATGTATCTTTCGCACGCGCTGGCGCAACAGAGACTGTAACTTGAAAGTGGTACGCAGCCTAATGGCACTCCAACCTTCAATGTCTAACGCGAGTGCAGTACCACAGTATCACAGCATCTCATGCCGATCCCATAGATCGCGAAGTAAATATCTATAGGTGCGAAAGTCAAGCCTATATACGATCAAAGGCCCGTGGCCTTTGCCGAGGGGTCTATACCGAAATTTTATGGCCTGATCACTGGAATCAACCCAAGGGAATGGCTGCGATACCTCAATGAGTTTCTCGATGACAATCTACTTCCCAACGCTATCCTGATTGAATATATACCGAATCTTCAGCAGATCGGTCTCTATACCTTCTCCAAAGAGAAAGTCAACAAACTGCACCAAATACTCGCAGAAATACATCAAGCTCGTGTGTATCATGCAGATCCATATCCACAGAATATGATGGTTCAGGAAGGGTCAGACAGAGTACACTGGCTTGATTTTGATCGGGCACAGACATCTCCTACGACTCAATCACAGCTCGTCAGCGGTAGTGGCTGGAAAAGGAAGACGAATTGATGGATTATTTCGTTGATGTTCTTGTACGGAATGGATCAACAGATATCTTGTTGTTTCTAGACTAATGATTTGGAATAGGCAGCAGATTATGAGGAAGGCAAGATTCATCGCACGTGGGAATGTTATTACGAGTAAGTTCAAGTCTCTATCAGTTTGGCAATGCTTCGTTGGCTAAACTGGAACAGTAGCATTTATCTATCGCCTTGAAACTCTGAGAGTCGCTAATCGGGCATCTGAATAAATCATTTGGGCTTTTCGAAACCCAGTTGACATTACTGGAGTGACAGAATACTTATATTCAAATCGTATCACCGCTATTAAGTTGAGTGGTCTCGAACACACACTCAGGTAGAAAGTAAGATATTTCAATCTATACTGTACTCTACGAAGTTGGGAAGGAAATCCCTCTGAGGCTATAAGAGTGATATTAGTCAAAGTCGAATGTTAGCAGATTTGATCTGCTTCATACCCCGGTCACCCGTAGCCCACCCGATCGATAAATTTTTTCTGTTTGCTCAAGATTGAGTTTGACACACATATCCTGATATGAGAAGAACTTTTTGTGATTCAAGTGCTGGATACATCCCAATTGAATTGGTAGCGAAAGGCGGACTGCGGGGAGAGCTGGGGCGGGGAATGGAATGGAGGCCGGGGATCGGCAACGTTCATTCATTCTTCTCTTCATCTTACATCTCTTCTTGCATCCACCTCCATGAAGCTGCTACTGTAAAAGCCCCTACAAATAAAGTAATTCGGCATACAGTGATTTATCTCGTAAAAAGTTCGCTGTCACTGCTCGCAACAGATGGCTGGATCAAGAAAAGGAGGAAAGCGGCGCAGAATAGGTCTGTTCCAGGCCGTTATGTTCATCTGAACGAGCACTGATAAGCTAGCAGGATGGTAATATCTCACTGTATTCCGAATAATACTGGATTAGAAAGACTGAACAGACATGTCACAGCACTCGTTGCAGAGCCAGCCATACAAAATGTGACGAAAAACGTCCCAGCTGCGGGCGCTGTCAAAGACTCGACCTTGAATGCCAGCCATCCGACTTCATTATCCCCTCAAACTGGAACCCCCCGGCCTCCCAATCACAAGCTATTGATCAAATGACCGATTTCCCAACCTCCACCTGGGACGTTTTCAACAATACTTCCACCCCATTCGGCAATGCAGTCCCATCCACCCAACCGATCCCTCACACTAAATCACCATCACGTCCAACTCTCGATACAGAAAAGGTGGCACTACTCCAAGAATACCAAAAGGGAGTAGGAACATGGGTAGGCTTATTTGACAACGCCCGACATCTCACGCACACCATCGTCAAACGTGCACTCGAATCCCCACTCCTTTTGAACGCGATATGCGCCCTCACCGCCAGACAGATGAGCATGGCAGGAAGAGGAGAGATGTGGGAAACCACCGCCGTCCACTACTACGGAGAAAGCCTCCAGCAGTTGATCCATATCTTGAATGACCCATCATATGGATCTGATGATACTCTCGCTGCAACAGTGCTACTGAGTAGCTACGAGCTGTTTGCCTCTCCAGGTCTGGATCATCATCGTCATGTATCAGGTGCCGTGACTCTGATCAGAACTAATTCACATAATGCTAATTCCGAGGGCTTGAAGGGGGCCGCATTCTGGGTGTATGCGCGCCAGGATGTTGCCATGGCTTTGGTGCATGAGTGTCCTACTATGCTTTTGCCGGAGGAGTGGGGGATAGAGTGGACTGATCAGGAGATTGATGAGGATCTTCTAGGAAATAAGATTATTTGGATTGTGGCTAAGATTATAGCGCATACGTTTGGGAAGGCTAGTGATGTCACTGAGCGCTCACTGCGTCGTGACAGAGTGCGTTTGATTGAGGAGCTGGAGACCTGGAGGAGGTCGTTGCCTACATCATTTACTGGTCTACCTTTTGGTACTCCTTCTGAAGAAGGATTTGTCAAGCGGTTATTTGCGATTCCTTCAACGGGTAGGTTTATTTTCAGGGTGTTATTGATTCAGCTAATTGATGGTACAGCGGCAGCGATGTGCATGTATCATTTGGCATATCTGCTATTGCTCACCGAAGGACGCAATCCATCTCTTGCGGGTGAGATTCCACGGGTATGTATAACAAACTACCTTGTACAAGTACTTCTGTTTGATATTGACGGATGATAGGAGGAAGTGGATACACATGCACGATCTGTGGCAAGCATAGCCTCATCACCTATATCGGATGCTTCACTTGTACAAGCAGCGCAGCCATTGTATTACTGTGAGTCAGAACTTATCATTCATAGAAAGGACACTAAAGGATATAATAGCAGCAAAACATATATCCACTGTCGCTGAAAAGTTCAAAATGTGGACACTTCTTAGTGAAATTGAGAACCGACTCGGATTTCATACAGGCCATCGCATTAAGCAGCTCCAAGAACAATTCAAGCTAGTCTGAGATAAACACATAAAGTCATACTCCATATGCCCTGGAAAAAAAACTTGCCTGCTTAAAAGCAAACAAAGTAAAGTTCCGAAGATCCACTCAATGGAATAAAACCTATCCATCCCTCCTCCAAATTCTCACTGGCATTCGCCCCGGCCACAAATTGAACGCCTCCTCCCACTCCAGCATCCAATCCTTGGACGGCAACTCGAACTCATAGCGATGAACCAACGTAGCAACCAGAATCTGCTGTTCAATGAACGTAATATTCCGTCCAATACATGCCCGCGCGCCACTACTAAAAGGGATGAACACAGCCCGCATCTGCTTAACCTTCTCATCATCCTCCAGCCACCTTTCAGGCCGAAAGGCTTCAGGGTCTGGAAAGATCTCCGGATCACGATGAACTGCGTAGGTAGGAACACTAACGGTGACATTTCCGGGGATCCTCTCTCCCAGGATATACATGCCTTCGGGAGGTGTCTTCCTCTCCAACCCTCTCGACACGGGCGGTGATAGGCGCAGCGACTCTTCCAGGCATGCTTTCAGGTACGGTAGGTTCCTGACTTTAGCATATGGTGCCACTTCCTCACCAAGTAAAGCACCAGACACCTCCTCCCTAAGCTTCTCCAGCGATAGTGGATTCTTGATAAGATAGTACATAACATTTGTCAAGGCGATAGCCGTTGTATCGGAACCTGCATCCACTGCATATAGTCAGCATCATCGATATCAAGAAAAACAATATACCCTTGGGGGGGGAGGTGGGGGAAAGAAACACTCACACAAAAGCCCCGCCTCAGCGTCAATCTCCCCCCTCTCCAACTCCCTCCCAACCCCCCTCCTATCCTCAACCAAACACCCCAGAAAATCACTCAACTTCTCCCCACCCTCCTGAACCCCCAACCTCTGATCCACCAAACCCCTTACAACCCTCCCAAACCTCCTCCCACACTCCCACTGCTCTCGTAGATACGGCGAAACAACACAAGACACTCCTTTCAAAAGTCCAACCCATCCACTCGCCCCAATAACCCACGAAGAGACCCGATTCCCCCGATGCAAACACTCAATATACCTAACAACCTCCCCATCCACAACAACCCCATCCGATCCCTTATCCAGTAGCCCCAACTTAACACTCAACCCAATATCCGCAATCGCATCAACAGTGAACAGATTCAACCAATATCTCAAATCAACCTCGTCCCCAGCCCCCGTTATCACCGCACTCGATGATGACGATGGTGTACACATCCCATCTAGCTTCCCCAACAATCTCTCCACCTTATCAGCTATCTTGAACTCCCACTGTTCGAGATTCTTCGTGGAGAAGGCATTCGCGAGCATTCTCCGCTTGCGGGAGTGATCGTCGCGGGAGATGGTATTCAGCATGTTAGAGTGGGTATGGGTTCCTTTTGTGAGTGCGTAGACGTCGTCTTTCAGGCAGGGTGTGCCGTGGCCGTAGATGGTTGGGATGGCTTTTGGGTCGGCGATGGAGAGAGAGGTCGGTGAGAGGCGGATTATACGGTGGTTGTGGTGGAGGTGCGTGTTGTAGAGGCGTTGGGTGCGGAAGGGGTGGCGGTGTTCGTAGATGTAGGAGAGGGTGGTGTGGTTGGAGAGTGGGTTGAGGGGAGGGTAGTATTTGGTTAGGGTTTTGGTGGTGAGGTATGTGAGTAGGGGTTTGATGAAGAGGATGAAGGTGAAGATGAGGGTGAGTAGGAGGGCCATGGTTGGTATAGATAGTTCTAAGATGGTTTCTTCTCATTAATTGAAGAGCATGCACATTGTCTGTAGACTTTAGAGCATTTATGTTATTTTTCTAACTTTTGGGTCAGATTTATAGTCTTATAAGTATTGAGATGTCTTGTTTATCTATAAAATTGGCGGACTGCGCTCTGCTAAGTGCATCTTACCCAGAAGGGCATGTTAAGAGCGGAGAAGCATTGTGCTGCGGGTATCGTGTACATTGAGCGGAAGACATTCCGTTTTCGGAAGTGTAAGAGCGCGTGTACTTCCATTTCAAACAATGTGTACAACCTCATGTCGGGTTGCGAAATAACATCATCTGGGATCAATGGGTATGCAGATTATGTTTTTTTGCGGTTTGAAGCATCTCTTGTATACATTGTACTTATATATACTCTCTAACTAAGCAATTATACCACCCGAAATCATCAATTATAAACATATCCTATAAACCCTCAACACCAAACCGCTATGCAACCCATCCCATCCCTCCAACATCACACACCACCCCCCTCTTCACTCTCCCCCTCCTCCTTCCCATCCTCCCCCCTCGCAGCCTCAATCTTCACCCACCCCACCAACACTGCCAACGCAACGCCCGCACACGCGACCCCCAACCAAAACGCCGCCTTATACCCCTCCCTCTGACCATCCACCATCTCAGCAACAAAATCCCCCCAACCAACGAAGAAACTCACACCGAGGAACAACACACTATTCGCCACGGCAGCCGCCAACCCCTGCTGCTGCTCAGGCAACGTAGTAGTAAGAAACACATTGGTGATATTATACGTGATATCCACCCCCACAGTCCCACAAATCATCGCAGGGAAGATATATGCCCAGTAACTCACCCCTTCCTTGGGAAGGATGGCGAAGAGAAGCGGGGCCATGACCCATCCTATGCCTGAGAGTATCAGGAGGATAGTACCCGGGACGATGTGGAGGATTGTCCCGCCGACGAAGCTGAGGACGATACCGCCCAGAGCGAAGGGGAGGTACCAGACTACTACCATTAAGGGGGAGATGTGCAGGATGTTTTGCATGTAGGTGACTGTGTAGAGGAGCCAGATGCCGAAGGTGCCGTAGAAGAGGAAGAGGGCGATGAGGAGGGCGGGGAGGTGAGGGACGCGGAAGAGGGTGAGGGGGAGGATTGGGGTTGGGGTTTGCGTTGTGGTCGTGGTTTTGCTGTCGTCTGTGGAGGAGTAGGAGGTGAGGCGGTGTTCGGTGTAGATTGCCCCGGCGAGGAGGATGCAGCCGATCACCAGGGTCACGGGGATGTATGGAGTGCGCCAGCCGTTAGGGGCGTGGCCGCAGTCGTTGACGGCAAAGAAGATCAGGATGAGGCTGGAGATGAAGAGGGCGGCGCCGAGGTAGTCGATTTTGAGGGTTGGGTTGGGTCGTTGTGTGCGAATCGGAGCCGGGATGAAGATGAGGGCCGATACGAGGGTGATCAGGATTAGGATGGCGCCGATCCAGAAGTACCAGCGCCAGTTGAGGAGTTGGTCGGCGATCCCGGAGACGAGGATGCCTGCGGAGAAGCCTATCGGGGCGCAGCCGCCGTAGATGCTGAAGACGATGTTCTTGCGGGGACCTGGAGGGTAGATCGAACCCAGCAGCATGATGCCTGCGGAGAGGATGGCGGCCGGGCCGAAGCCTTGTAGAGCACGACAGAAGTTGAGCATGATTTCATTCTGGGAGAACCCGGCGATTAGGGTCCAGACGAGGTGCCATGTTAGGCCGGAGGTGAAGATCACGAAGCCACCGTATTTGTCGGCTAGTTGGCCGAAGAGGAGGAGGGAGCTGCCGGCTGTGAGGGCGAAGGCGCTGGAGGGCCAGCCGGTGGATGCGGCGGGGATGTTCAGGCTTTGTGAGACGGATGGGATGAGGACGTTGAAGCCAGATATGAAGAATTCCTGTCATGGTGTGAGATGGCTGGAGTTTGGGGGATGGTTGGTATGGACGTACCGACATGATCTGGGATAGCATAAGGGCCACGCAGAATCCAATCTCAACGACCAGGTTAGGGAAGATGCGCGGGCGCTGTCGACCCTGACGATCGACATCTTGGGGACGCTGGTCCTCAGCGCACTGTTCTTTCATGGTCCGTTGTTGATTCACACTGAGCAGCCATGTCTAGCTCTGCTTGAACGAGCTTGGGCATGGGTATAAATATGTGCATCGCAAAAAGCAGAATTCCTAAACAAGGCATTAAATTGAGTTATCATCTTGATTCATAAGCCGCTGAGTTGGTCTCCAGCTGGAGATTAAGCACCAATCCAAACGAAATCCATTTTATAATGAAAAAGGCGACATGGAAGTTCCTGGGGAGCTGGTTAAGTATCAAATGGAACCAGCCAATGATATACCAGCTTGGGTTTAAATTACCCACTATATTCTGATATTTGGCGAATCGGGTCTATCAAAGGTCTTGGCCACCACGCTAGTAGCAAGTCCTCCAGACAACTTCCTAATTCGGATAGCAGCCCTAACCGGCATATATTTAGGTCGTCATGGAGTTTATTATTTGCAGCAGAACATTCTGGCTGAGGAAAGTACGAGAAGATGTCTAGACAGCTGAGATTAGACAATACTGTGATTGTGAAGATGACGATCATAGCAACTTCTTACCAATAATTATTTGCAAGACATGTCACTTTCTGCACACGCTTCGGTGCTCCGATCTTCACCATGATCACTCACATCCATTACCAAAAAAGCAAAAGGAGGTAGAGACAGTATGAGCACCATAATCACAAGCACCAAAAGGTTAAATAAAAAAACAAAAAAGAATGGATGAGCCCAACCCGAATCGAACGGATAACCTTACGATCTGGAGTCGCTGCGGAAGATGTTAGATGATGTTGGTAATCCAGTAGTGGATGAGGATAACTTACTACGCGCTACCAATTGCGCCATAGGCCCATTCAGGTGGCGAACTGGTCGTATTTGTGCTACGTTTTCCGGTGTGTACTACACACCAGGATTTTAGTTGATGCATGAGTACTTGTGATGGTAGCACATGTATTTCATTTGATCTGGTCGAAGTAGGACTAGATAACCATGTGGCAGAAATTATCTCTGAGAATCAGTCCGTGCTGGTTGTGGAAATAAATTGCATTCAGCGATTTACGCTGTATGTTGGGGGTGGCTACACAGGGTATTGTATTGTACCTGACGGGTGATTGACAGCTAGGACCTAGATCTGGAATGATGGACCAGTGGAAATTTACGAACCTTGAACCAGGCAAAATCAGGTCAAACAATAAACGAATGAAGGCCATAGAAGACAGCTACATCAAGGACAACATCAAAATCGTTCCCAAAAAAAACCCCACTCCGCTATGTTCCCCTCCCCAAGCCACCAAAAAATAAAAAGCAAAAAGAATGGATGAGCCCAACCCGAATCGAACGGATAACCTTACGATCTGGAGTCGCTGATGAAACTGTTAGATGCTGCTGTAATCCTGATTTGGATTATCAGGGTGAACTTACTACGCGCTACCAATTGCGCCATAGGCCCATAGGTGAAGGAATTTTGTTATTTTTGGCCTTATCTCGGGAGGTGACATTATAATGTAACGTATTGTAATTTTCACGATGCATGTTAGCTCATGTCACAGTTGACTCTCACTAAGAGATAATTATTTACTACGAGATTGAGAGTCATTGATCGACTACATGTTAATATCAATATGAATGACCCAAATGGTAAATCATGTTAACAGTGAGATATACACTGCAAATGGGCTCAATTAGAGCTTAAGTACTATGTGTTCGTTAGATACGATCTGTATATTCGATCACATGGATGATGCCCACCTTACTGAACAGTGTTGAGTGTGCTCTTGTAACTCTGTCCATTGTGATATTGCACAAGTAAATCTGAAGGCTCTGTCCTGCGAATAAATCAGATTGAGTATCTAATACCTCATCAATGACGAATCGTCCCTCATCAGGGGCATGAGGATATCAACCCCACACGGAATTCATTCAGTGCTGGTATGCCTTCAAGATCTAGAGATAAGAAGCAACATTCCAATACTACGTATGGCAAACCCCAGAGCAGAAGGCAAATAAACACCATCAATATTGCCAGAGTTAATCAGTATCCGTTCCATCTCACGGACCCATACCATGTAGTTAAGTTGAGTACACCACAGCCCAGTTCCAATGAATAACCATTACACGAACCCTTCATCCAAGATTTCAAGAACACTTCTCACTCGGTTGAACAAATTTTTTTTGGAAACAATAATAAGGCTTCTTACAGCTACATCTATCTCAATCCTACCGCTATCGTCAACTACCCAGCCAGCTAGTGTGGAGTTGGTGATAGATGGAGGTAGGAGTTGGGGGGAAGAAATGCAAAAAAGATAATGAGCCCAACCCGAATCGAACGGATAACCTTACGATCTGGAGTCGCTGTTGAAGTGGTTAGTGGGATGTTGGAACCATTATTTGATTCAGTGAAACTTACTACGCGCTACCAATTGCGCCATAGGCCCATTGGGGGTGCCTGATTCTTTCCTTTCTTGCCTTATGAGCGGTGGGGGTTTGGAGGGTAGATATCCCACATTTAGTGCTGGGTATATTTACTGTGTTTTTGGTGTCAACTATCATATTATTTGGACTTCGTTTTGTGTATTAGGGGTTAAGCAATATTCTTTATTATTCATGATAAGGTCTTCGGTTATTATTGTATGACATCGTGTTCGTGTTGCTCTATATTAGGCTATCCTTCTGCTGCCTCCATATATATTACGACCTACTGTTCAACGCGTACATTATATGAACCCAGTAAAAGTAGTAGCTGCTATATACACTCCATTAATATATGCCCGGGTAATTCTAATCCCCGCCATGATACATGTCTATCGTGATTCATTAGTCATACACATGGCCTCGGCCTGTCTACTCCCAAGCGCCAATACACTCTACTACCAGCAAGCCATCAATTCCCGTTGCCCAGGATCAGGGCCCGTGCCTGTTGAGGGTCCGTTCCGAGGACAGTAATTAGGTATTCGATGCTGCTACCGTTAGCCAGTGGTCTTTCACGGATCTATGGTATGTCTCACCTCGCTTCCGATGCAAGTCGGCGCTTCTCGTTCTGGAACTCTTGCTGACATGACTCCCAGGTCCCGGCTCGCTCCGTCGGTAGCACTGTCTTGACGCGCAGCTTGAACGTAGCGCTCACTGGTCGATGGTCGGATGCGCGGACTTCGTGTCGGCGGTATTCGAGTTGACGGACGCGGCCTAGTCCACGGTAGAGAACTCGGTCACACCATGCGGGTGCGCGCTTCTTATCGCTGGAGTCATACTCGTCGGTGCCGACGTCGTATTTGTATGTCGGTGCGAACGTGATGGGTGCCTCGTTGAAGGAACGCAGACGGAAGCCTGGGTTCTTGCGTCGCGAGGCCAGCAACTGGTCGCGTCCCAGTAGCTTGGTCAGATTGTTACTGCGGATGTCGTCGATGATCACGTTCCGTGGAATAGAGTCGATACGGTAATTGAGATCACCGTTCAGAATACAGATCTCGTGGTCCATGATCATCGAGCCATCGCCACCGCTCACGTAGTGGTTCGCGCGAGTTGCGAGACTAGTCTCCGCAGGAAGCGACTCCGCCTCGAGAATCGCCGCGATATCATTGTTGCGGTGTGCCGTCTGCGTCTGACCAGCTGCCAAGTGGCAGTTGATAAAGCAGAGGGAGCTGTCATCAAGGACAAAGCGGAGTATAAGTGCACCCTACAGCAATCAGCAATCAGCAACTGACGGCAACCAGAATAACTTGAGCCTACCTTGTTTCCATGCAACCCTCCCATACCGCGCTTAATCTCCGAAGCACCGATATTCTTGATCCGCTGGCGCTCCTTGTGCTTTACAAACACACACGTAAAGAGACCGATCAGATTCGCGCTATGCAGCAGCACATACGACTCCTCAAGCGGCATGCAGTCATTGATGCAGCGAGTTAGATGCTCCATCCACACCCTGTATTGACGACTCATGTGTTCCTTATCACCGTGCTCCTTCTTCTTACTCCCGAGGAGCAGACTCTCTGGACGAAATTAGCTATATCTCAACAAAGTTAGCGACATACGTACTGGCAGTGATCTTCTTATTCTCAAGGTCCACCAGCTCCTGGAAACCAAACACCAAAATCTCCGGCGGGTTCTCAGGATGGATCGCATCCTGGATAAAAGTGGATGTGCGCACGCTTCCAGGGGTAGAAGCACCGGCGTTCCAGGTCATGATTACTGCCTGAATTTCACGGAACTTGCAAAACTCCACGTCTCGGGCCTGCATCCTGGTTTCTAAGAGGTGTTAGCTCATATCAGTCGGACAATCGCAGCCACTTACCCAACCAATCATCCTCCAACATGCCGTCCCAAAGACGGATGCAGTTGTCGTCTCCCAGTGAAGTTACTTGCAGTCGGTTCATTGTCCACACGCTGCTGGAATCAAGCAAGAACCCGCTGACAGGGCTATCGTGAGCACGCCAATCCTTCTTTACCGTCCACGGATTTGTAGATGTGTCGTATACGTAGATCATGCCGGTCTTGTATGCGGCCCACAGATAGTCTCCCACAATACCCAGACAGTTAATCTTGTAGACACTGACATTGACAACAGACAGACAGGTGTAGTCGTGGGCTGAGTATACGGTCACCTTTCCATCTGCATGACCCAGATACACACGACCACCGTCTTTGGTGGTATAAGCGCCTGACGTTACATCCCCGGTATGCTGCAAGCCCAGTGGTCTGCTAAGAACCTTGAATGAAACATCATCGCGAGCATTCGGCTGATAGACGTGCACTTCCTTGCCGGAAGCCAGCCACAAAAGGTCTCCAACTACCATCGAAAACGTATGCCCGCGGGCAACCCGATCGTAGGGGTTGTGGTAACTGTACTGGAGGTTCGGCGTTCCAGTCTCGTCCGGAGGCCATACCAGCAGCCGACCCTCATCGTCGAGGGTCCACATTTCCTTCTTATGCCGCAAGATCTTGACAATCTCCCGTCGAGAGGGGTAAGACCGCGATGCGACAATGGACCGGGTTGCAATGTCAACTTCGTGCAGATCCCCGGAGTTCGTGCCCAACCATAAGCGCTGGCCTTCATCCTCCAGACCCAAACCTGGCTTAAAGGCAACCGACAGACATTTGACTGTCTCACCATGGCTAAGGCTCATAATCTGCTCTCCAGTCGTAAGATCCCAGACCCGTGTGATGTAGCCGGTCGTGCACACATGCTTCCCGCACACATCCATGAGACGCGTATCGTACCGCGTGTGAATCTCCTGAGGCCCAGACTTCAGCAGCGGTGGCCGTCTGTTTGCACTGGACGCATCTGGATAATCCGTGCGAGCAACTGGCGTTTCATCCGGAACCTGCTCATCCTCACTGGGAATAGGCCGAACTGCTTGACGTTCCACCACAGGCCGTTCTGGTATAGGACGCTCTGACATAGGCCTCTCTGGCATCGGGCGCTCCGGGACAGCTGGGGGCGGCACTGGCCTGGTCTCCCTGGAAATGGACGGCTGCCGCGATACGTGCGTCGGGGTTGGCAACTCATCTCGATAAAGGGGCCTAGTCTCCCTGGAAATAGATGGCTGTCGAGAGACATGCGTCGGAGTGGGTAGTTCGTCTCGATAAAGGGGCCGAGATTCGCGGTAGGGTGTCGGGGGAGGTAATGAGAACGCCGGGCTTTCCACCTGGTATGAATGTCGCGACGGTGATGGACCGCCCCTTCGTGCCAGAGATGGCTGTCGGGGAGGCAGTCCGGGGCGCTCCTGCGGATCATGCATCGGGGGCCTGTAGTTGGAGAGCGGTGCGGTTGCCAACGGCTCCGGCGCTACATAATGCCTGGGAGGAATCTGGACCATAAGCGGCTTCGTCTCCCGGGGAGGCTCCGGAATTGGCCGCCTCAGCGAAGACTCTCGGTGTACACCTGGCTGAGGAGCGGGGGACCTCTCCTCTAGTGACCGATGAGTCGGAAGACCAGGTACTGGACGGGCTGGCGAGCGCCGGGAGGGCGACCGCGGAATTGGTACCGCTCTGGTATTGGGTTGCTGTTTTGGTGACGCTTTCTCGGGACTGCTCGGGGGAGTGCTGAACGGCGATACGCGGTCTTCCGAGGAGGCACGTTCAATCTGTGGAGCAAGAGAGCTGGCTTCGTGGTGTGACAATGCCGCCGGTTTGGCGGGGATCTTGGGCTTCTCCGCCCGGTTAGCAGGCGGGGGAAGGGAAACGCTCTTGCCTTTGCGTTCCGATGGACTCTCGCGTCCATTTGCCAGGGAACCTGATGTGCCTGGCGACAAACGATCCGCCTTACTTTCTGTAGGAAAAGACGCAGAGACGGGGGTGGTTGGTCGATGAGCAGGAGGAATCCCTTGCGGTATGGTAGGCAGCGATTCGCGGGAAGCGTTCGGCGGGGTGCGAGACGAGCTGATTTCCTCCTCATGGTCTGCTCCAAAACCGCGCGGCGGAGACCGTGGTGAATCGACCGTCAGAGTCGGTGCCAACTGCGGCGACGAGTGGAGGTTCATCGACATGGGTCTGTTCTGTCGTCTGCCCGGGGAAATCCCGGGGGATTCAGAGTGCGGGGCTAGACCATTGCCATGTACGATACTGTGACTCCTCTCCACCTCAGGCACTGAGCCCCAGGGAGACCGTGGACGTGGTAGATCAAGAGAGGCTCTGTTGGAGCGGATATCATCACCATATTCGGGGGTTCTCAGAAAGGACGGCGGATCGCGTGAACCGTTTGTAGCAGCGGATGGAGCCCGACGATGCGAAAGATTCTCGAAATGGGAAAGCAGGGAAGACACCGGTCTCTAGAGAAGCCAGTGGATTAGTATAAAGCTCCAGAACAGCGGGGGGTATAGCCGGCGCAAACGTACAATCGGAGCATTATCCGTGGCGTCCTTTTGCTTGCCGTTTCCCTCCATGGCCACAACAGCGAATCCAACAAACAGGCCGAGAAAAGGAATGGATCATAGGCTCCGCCAATTGCGATGAATACAGACAACCACTGGGGAGAGGCTAAGAAATGGCACAGTAAATTTAATGGCCAGACTGGATAAGATAACGGGTGGCAGGGAGTTGAGCCGGGAGTGACGATTGTGGCGGAGCTCCAGTTTAGGCGGAAGGAATTCAGAAGCAGTAGAGACAACAAGACGCCGTGCAGGGATAGGAAGGGTCTAGATCAGGAGATCCTACTCTGCGGAGGACGTGGAGAATGGCCCGGACAATATCAGGTGAAAATCGGAGCGATGGGAGGAATTGAGCAGTGAATGTGTGGAGAGAGAGGGGGGGAAGGACGGAGGAAGGGAGGGATCCAAAGAGTGGGGAGGAAGAGTAGGAGGAAGAGTAGAAAGGGAAGACAAGAAGAGGATGGGCGGGAAGAGAGGGATGGAGATGAAGTCACCCAAACCGACAAGAGGAAGTTGAGGAGTAAAGTAAGTAGTAGGGAAGGAAAAGGAAAGGAAAGGGGAGAGAGAGAGAAGAAACCCAGCGAGGCGAGGCGATGATCGACCCGCGCGTGATATGCATTGATGGAGGGAGAGAGGAATGAATGAATGGATGGATGGATCCATCCATCCATCAATCGTTCTTTATTTTTAGCCTCCCCCCGACCTGAACCACTGCATACTTTACTCCAACTTCCCACCACATTCAAGACATCTTTGTGTCTTTTTGAAACTTGTCTATATTTACTCTTCTCTCCTTCTATACCCAAATCCCCCCCGTGTACAAACTTTAGAAAATGTGGTATGAACCATACCCCTCACCTCCCATCCTCTCTCTACTCACCAGCTTGAACCCCAACTCACCAATAATCCTCAAAAATCCAGTAAACACATCCTGAACGCTCAAGTGGCCATCCGCTCTCCCTGCTGTAAGCCCTCATCCCTCCCTCTAACCCCCTTTCTCCTCAAACCTCAAATCTAATTATTCCCCGTGTATCCGTGACAGGCAAAAAATGGTTCGACTGCGCCGAATGCCACCAAGAACAAGAATCGCACTCGCTCACCAAAACCACTGAAATGGTATACTTTTACTACCTTACCTTACCTACCACAAACCCTCAATCACCAACCAAATGAATTCCCAAAATTCTAGGTCTTCGCCTGCAAGAAATGCAAGAAATGTTTCCGGAAAGACGCGACGGAGTTTGATGAGAGGTGCGTCCGGTCGTCGTCACCCGCCCCCACACCTGCTGCCCTTAGTTACTGGGATGATAAACCGGAGGGGCTGGCCCATATCTATAAAAAGAGAGAGAGGAAGATAAAGGGGGAGGGGTAGAAGGAGGTTACGAATGGTTGAATTGACTAGTTGACACCTATTTTATCTGGATTTTAGTGACGAGTACTGCCCGCACTGCGATAACCATTTCGTGATTGACGCTGTGACGCCGACGCCCACGTTGCAGGTCGAGGGTGAGGATGCGAGAATCGATGCCAGGTGAGTGCCCCCCTATACCCGTCTATTCTGTGTTGGGATAACTGACGATATTCCTTCGTGTAGAATGCTCAAAGACGACCGTGTTCGCGGACACCAGGAACGCTCCATCTTCAACTTCAAGGATATTTCCGATCGCTTGGGTTAGACGCCAGTCCCCGAAACCATGGGTGGATGAACGAGATTTACGAAATTATGCATACACACTACTACACTTTACCTACATAATCCCTGTATATCACCTGGAACCTAGAGCTTCATATAGATCCGGAGCACATCTGCATTACAGTATAACGGAGTTTATTTTCGTGAAAAAGGACGTAACGCTTCTTGCAAGATCCCTAGACAATTAACCGGATAGAAAGCACACCCCGCAACGAGAGTCTCATCGTTGCTGATTCGACGTAGCCTCTACTTGAACGGCATGGCATCCACCTTACTCCCGGCTCTCGCTGCCCTCGCCGCCACCAGGCCGTGTTAGGATAGCAGCCGTCGTGGTGCCACCGCGACCCGTCTTCTTCTTAGCCGCCTCCTCCTGCTTCTCCGTCTCTATGCTCTTAATGTACGCCTCGATCTGGTCATCCGGGAGCATCTCAATCGTCTGCCCAGGCGACATGATAGCCACCTCGATGTTCTTCGCACCAGTCTGCACAACCTCCAACAGCGACTTGATGGTGAGCTGGATAGTCTGTTCGCGGTCCATCTCATCCTGGTGGTTGCGTTCGAGGAATTCGCGCACAGTCTTGCTGGAGCGTCCGATAGCATTTGCTTTCCTAATAGCCCGAAACCATCAGTCAGCTTCAACCCATCCCTACATCATCAACACAAATCATAGGAGGAACACCCACCAAGCGGAATAAATCCCCGAAGGCTCAGTCTGATATAACCGGGGCGTCTTATCATTGGGGTCGAAACCCACGACCAGGGTACTGATACCAAAGGGTCTAACACCACCACTCTGCGTGTACCGCTGCTGCACACTAGCAATGTACTTCGTAATGTATTCGATAGTGACGGGGTCCTCAACGGTCAGACGGTGGGACTGAGCTTCTAGACGGGCTTTGTCGATAAGAATGCGGGCGTCGGCGTTCAGACCGGCGAAAGCCAGGACGGCGTGGTTATCCACCATGGCGATCTTGGACGGTGTGATGCGGGTATCTTGGAGCTTCAGTGCGGAGCGCTTCTCGCAGCCGAGAACGACCACGTCCTTGCCTTTTACTCCGACGGCGCAGGTTCCTGGATAGATACAAAAGGAGAGAATAGGTGAGTTATGATGTGATTGATGGATGGGAGGATTCCCTTGGGGTCGGAGGGGCTGGACGTACCTCGCTTGACGGCCTCCATGGCGTATTCCACCTGGAAGACGTGCCCGTCGGGGCTGAGGGCGGGTTAGGATGTGTTTGCTAGAGCTTCATGAAGCTAGAAATTCATACCTGAAGACTGCGAAGAGGTTAGAATGGGGAATCCCTTCATCAACCAGGCCCGTAGCCAAGGTAGTAGCTAGCTTGTCTTACCTGAAAGAGCTCGGTCATATCCAGACATTATGGGCAGTAGGCAAGATTAAGGGTTTCTGAGAGAAAGGAGACTGGAATGAAGTTCACGGGAGGAAGTAGGAGGTCAAATAGATACAATTCGGAGTCTTGGGTCGTAGAATGCTGGGGTCCGGTGTCCGGCTGGGCGATGACAGATGGAGGTGGACGCGAGGCCCGCCGCTGCCTTGAGAGCTCCCAAGCGCTTGGCGCGCGGCTAGCCGCCATGACGCTCTCCCTCCTGCTGGTTCTCCCCGACCATCCTACTACTGGTACAACTCTTGCCTCCAGTGCTTGCATATTCCACGCAGTAGACAGTAGCCACTTAGAAATGGCCACAACAGGAAACTATAAGAAAATACTTCTCTAATGGTACCATGGAATCAACCTAGCACAGAACTAATCACCCACCAATCGATCATGACGACCAATGCATAAATATCAACAGGCTCGATAAAAAGAGAATTCTCATATAGTTGATCTACACCCCAATCGCCCATGACTCCCTGCCTAGCTGAGATCGGACCATGCTGTACATCACACGCTGAAAGGCGATACGAGAGAATGCAGGCATCGGGCTAGTCAAACCAATAATCACGTCTCGACTTTTGAAGGAGGGAACGACAAAACCCGCAGGGAAAGCATATGTAAACACAAGACGAGAACAGTATAAGTAATATGAAGAACAGTACAAGAATTATGGACACTCAGAACAATCTTGTCGCACGCACGACTCCCAATCCATGTGCCTCGCAGATGTCCCAAATCCGTCGTAGCTGGTTGAAATTTTGCTGGCTCAAAAGGAATACCCCAACACCCCCAACAGAGTCCGTTCCATTGTATCCCAACCATGATCAATACCGTGATTCTCCAATGATCCCTATTGTCGAAGCGCGCAGATGAACTCGGAAAGCCAACAAATAAAAAAAAGAAAAAAAAAGACAATATCTAGAATGCAATGCCATGCTCGAGCCCTTCCTCGCCAGCGCCGCGGCTAGCCGGACAGGAGTTCCTCCCCTCCGCCGGAGGAAGTATGCGCCCATGACGAGAGAAATGCGCGAAGCCCATGCCGCTCCAAGAAGGAAAGAAAAAAAGAAATGAGAACCAACAACAAACGCGAAACGATGATCCAGCAGGTGGTGAAGAAGCGCATAGGACCGCCTGGGCCCACCTGCCCGGGCGGTCTTCTTCTATACCCTCAAACATCGCTTGCAAAGACACAATAGTAAGACATACCGAAAATGGTCTGACGTCAAATCTGCGAGACCAGGCAAAAACAGAAAGGACCAAATCGGACGAAACGACGACACGCTACCGGCCTGCTCCTCCCAACCTAATGCACCAGAACTGCAGAATTCCTTATACAAATGCGCATCAACGGAATACCAACCGTCACATATACCAACATATCCAGACCACCATATGGACAAAAAACCGTGAGGGAGAACCGTCGTAGAAAACAAATCTCTAATGTCCCCGGCTGAAACAACATTGCTGTTTCATAACTTTTTACGCGGGGGACTTGTTCGCACTGGCGCCGTTGCGACGAGAGTGGGCATCTTCACCCACAGTCAAACCTCCCAAGCCCGTCGAGAGGAAGGCAAACGGATCGCTCGAGCCATCATTGCCGTAGAAGGCACCGTTGGACGCACTGGTCGACGAGTTGTGATCAGCCCCCGTGAAGGCAGCCTGGGCGGCCGGGTTGGCGAACGAGGCCGCGGAATGGGAAGCATTCGCGGAGCCATAACCAGCGTTCATCTGACCCATAGGGGGGTATGCGGCCGGGGCGCTTCCCAAGCCCGAAGGCAAGGCAGCATAGTTGTTGGGGGGCGCGGCAAACTGTTGACCAAAGCCGCCAAAGCTACCAGTGCTAGCCGCGAAGGGACCAGGAGCCGGGGTGCTGGTCATGGAGTTCGGGCCCATGCCAAAGCTCGAGGGAGGATCCATCGGGGACGGGAAAGCGGAGTCGGCCACAACTGCTGCTCCAGACCGAGGGGCCCCGCAACGCAGGCAATTGATGTTCTTGGCGAAGTTGTGGTAACCGCAGCCCTCGGAGCCACACTTCCAGTCACCAGCACGGAAAGGCACCACACCGCCGTTGCCGCCCATGCCGCGGGAATGGCCCATTCCGTGGCCGTGGCCCATGTGAGGAGGCATCATGGACGGGGGGCCGTAGCCGTAGCCGTATCCCATCGGATCGGGGGCAGCGGCCATAGCCGGGAACGAGCAGCGGAAGCATGCAGTACGGCGCTGGAAGTTCGAGAATCCACATGAGGGGCAAGTCCAGTCGCCAGGACGAGGGCGGTTCTTGGAGGGAGGGAAAGGCGTCAGGATCTCCGCGGCACGGTCCAGGACACGGCTGGAGGAAGGAGACACCTCGATGGCCTTTTCGTTCAGAGCACGGCCGTTCATGCAAAGGCTCTCGGCAGCCTGCGTGGAAACAAATTAGATGTCTGATCTAAGGTCTGAGGATAGTGAAAGACAGTAAGCCAGTTCATACCTCTTCGTGGGACGAGAAGACCGCAAAGCCGGTGCCGGTAGGCTTGTGCTGATCCGGGGTGCGGAGGGTCCAGAACGCGATCGGACGACCGCCAAACTGAGTGAACCAGCTCTCCAGCTCGGACTGGGTGGTGTCGTGGGGGAGTCCGCTCAGATGAAGAACCTTGCTGCGCTCGGCCAGGAAGGCACGAACGTCCGCTCTGGCATCCATGGGGCGGGTGAGAATCTCGGGGTGCTCATGCGGGGGCTGAGACTTCCGGATCAAGCCGCGCAGCACTCTGGCCAAGGTGATAGCCTCCTCCATGGCGCGACGGGGAGAGGCGGGAGCCAAGGCCTGCAGGTGGAAGGGAAGGTTGTGCTTGATGGGAGCGGAAGACTGAACGGGCTCGACCTCGAGGGCGGCGCAGATGTTGGAGAGAGAGCTGGGGCCGAAGGGCAGAGACTCGGGGTGGTGAGTCTGCCATCGCTGGTATTCGGTGCGGAGGTCGAATGTCCGGGAGTGCTGAAGGTATGCCGGAAGCACGACTGCCTTGTCCCGGGCCTCACGGGGCAGCTGCACACGAAGATCCCATGAATCCAACGTCACGAAGGCGAACTCCAGGTTCTTGCTGATGAGGTGTTCCTGGGCGAAAGCGTCGAAGCGGTTGATGGCGTCGCGGAAGGTGCCTGCCGAGCGGACGTGTTCCCATGTCAGAGTCGTCAAGCTCGCTTTCAAAGACCGTCAGCCATTGAACCAAGGGACGGATGGATGCGGAGGGACGGAGTGAGGTACGAGAGAAGGAGAGGAAGGCATTGTTGGGTGATTGGGTAGGCTGCGTTCGAATGGGGTGCACTTACTGCAAAGAGGCGTGATGGGGGTGTTGACGGGCTTGACAAGAACGCTCTCATGGTGCAACTAAGCCGACGAAGAAAACAGTGTCAGCAAATAGTACATCATGGAGGATTCTCTTGTTGGGGGGTATGAGTGGTCTCGGTTGATGAAGGAAGCACGGCAGATAAGCATCCGAGAGGGGGAGAATTTGTCAAGGAGGAGGGGGAGAAAAGGCTGGGGCAATGAATGGATGAACGAGAGATAATAAAATAATCAAGCCGACGTACCTCCTCGCAGGTTTTGGTATCC